ATAATAATAATAATAATAATAATAATAAATCCAGCATAGAGATCTCATTTGCTGTGACATGCTGTGGTTTTGTGTCAATAAAATAATAATAATAAAAATAATTTGGGTCTCAATTGATTAATTGCATTAATTAAATAATAATAATAATAATAAATCCAGCATAGAGATCTCGTTTGCTGTGACATGTGGTTTTGTGTCAATAAAATAATAATAATAATAATAATAATAATAATAATAATAATAATTTGGGTCTCAACATGGCTTAGGGTGCATCTACAGTGTAGAATTAATGCAGTTTGGCACCACTTTTAACTGCCACATAGCTCAATAGCAAACTCCAAATGCTAGGATTGTATATAATATAATATGATTGTATATACATATAATATTGATAATATTATAATGTAATACAATATACTACTATTAATAAAAATAAAATGATATTATAATTATATATATTTATATTAAATGCAATATTATTAATAATATTACAATATAACGCTATAGTACAATGTAATGTATAATATTAATATTGTGCTTTGATAATAAAATAATATATTGTATTTACTTTTTACTTGTAAGCCACTCTGTGTCTTTGGGGTGAGAAGGGCGGCATATAAATGTCGTAAATAAATAAATAAATAACATAGCAATGGTCTGTTACAAGTTAAACTAGTGTGAAACTGCATTAATTCTACAGTGTAGATGTACCCTATGACTCCTGCTTGGCAGAATGGGGTTGGACTGGATGACCTTTGGAGATCACTTCAAACTCTAGAATACTATGATTCCTGGGATTAGTCTAGATGACCTTCAGGGTGCCCTTCCAACTCTTCTATTTTTGTATGAGGACTGCATGGCAGAATGGGGTTTGACTGGGTGATCTTTCGGGCTCTCTTCCAGTGTTATGATTCCTTGCATGGCAACTCTCTGGTTTCTTTCTTTTTGCAAATACATTGCAACTGCATCCTTGGTTCACTCCTGATAAGATAAATAAATAATTTTACAGTTTTATGATGCCTATATAAACAAATGGGGGGTTGACCGGATGACCTTTGGGGATCTCTTCCCATTCTATTTGGAAAAAAGGGGTTGGACTGGATGACCTTTGGTACTCTTTTCCAATTATTCTGATTGCTAAATAACAAAATTGGGTTGGTCTGGATGACCTTTGGGAACCCCATCCAACTCTATAATTTTATGATTTCTATATGGCAGAATGGGGTTCGAATGGATGACCTTTGGGACTCTCTTCCAATTGTTTGATTAGTCTGGATGACCTTTGGGGACCCCTTCGAACTCTATAATTCTATGATTTCTATATGGCAAAAGGGGGTTCGAATAGATGACTTTTGGGACTCTCTTCCAATTGTTCTGATTGCTTAATAACAAATTTAGGAATGACCTTTGGGGACCCCATCAAACTCTATAATTCTATGATTTCTATATGGCAGAATGGGGTTCGAATGGATGACCTTTGGGGCTCTCTTCCAATTGTTTGATTAGTCTGGATGACCTTTGGGGACCCCTTCGAACTCTATAATTCTATGATTTCTATATAGTAAAAGGGGGTTCGAATAGATGACCTTTGGGACTCTCTTCCAATTGTTTTGATTCCTAAATAACAAAATTAGGTTGGTCTGGATGACCTTTGGGGACCACTTCCAACTCTATAATTCTATGATTTCCATATGGCAGAATTGGGTTCGAATGGATGACCTTTGGGACTCTCTTCCAATAGTTCTGATTACTAAATAAGAAGATTGAGTTGGTCTGGATGACCTTTGGGGACCCCTTCCAACGCTATAATTCTATGATTTCCATATGGCAGAATGGGGTTCGAATAGATGACCTTTGAGACTCTCTTCCAATTGTTCTGATTGCTAAATAACAAAATTGGGTTGGTCTGGATGACCTTTGGGAACCCCTTCCAACTCTATAATTCTATAATTTCTGCTTGGCAGAATGGGATTCGACTAGATGACCTTTGGAACTCTCTTCCAATTGTTTGTTTAGTCTGGATGACCTTTGGGGACCCCTTCCAACTCTATAATTCTATAATTTCCATATGGCAGAATGGGGTTCGATTGTTTGATTAGTCTGGATGGCCTTGAGCGACCCCTTCGAACTCTATAATTCTATGATTTCCATATGGCAGAATGGGGTTTGCATAGATGTCCTTTGGGGCTCCCTTCCAATTGTTTGATTAGTCTGGATGACCTTTGGGGACCCCATCCAACTCTATAATTTTATGATTTCCATATGTCAGAAGGGGGTTCGAATGGATGACCTTTGGAACTCTCTTCCAATTGTTCTGATTGCTAAATAACAAAATTGGGTTGGTCTGGATGACCTTTGGGGACCCCTTCCAATTCTATAATTCTATAATTGCCATATGGCAGAATGGGGTTCGAATGGATGACCTTCGGAACTCTCTTCCAATTGATCTGATTCCTTCATATCAAAATTAGGTTGGTCTGGATGACCTTTGGGGACCCCTTCCAATGCTATAATTCTATGGGGGAATGGGGTTCGAATGGATGACCTTTGGGGCTCTCTTCCAATTGTTTGATTAGTCTGGATGACCTTTGGGAACCCCCTCCAACTCTATAATTCTATGATTGCCATATGGGAGAATTGGGTTCGAATGGATGACCTTTGGGGCTCTCTTCCAACTCTTCCATAATCATAAATAGGTTGGTCTGGATGCCCTTTGGGGTTCCCTCCAGCCTGTATATAGATTCCACCCCTTTTTCTCCATTTATCAGGTGCGTTTCATTAGCAGGGCTCTCACCCCCCCTGTAACTTGCAATGGTTCAGTCCAATGCTCCGGAGAGCGCTGCAGAGCCTGGACCAAACCAAATTGCAAAGACAATACAAAGAGGGGAGAAATTCTGATCCGGAGATGCTTGGAGCGGCCTGTAGAGGGCAGCAGCGTCCTCCTTTCTCCTCCTGGCTTTGCTGGTGGGAAAACTTTGGAGCCAGAAGAAGAGAAGGAAGGAAGGAAGGATCCTTTTGCGTCACTGAAGAAGAAGAAAGACAGGAGGGAGGAAGAAGGAGGAGAAGGAGGAGAGGAAGAAGAGGGAGAGAGAGAGGTCTGCAAGGACGGGAGAGAGCCAGAGGGATTTGGGGAGACCCAGAGGCCAAACGAGGACAACCTGTGCTTTGCAGGTAAAGCAGGATGAGCAAAAAATATTGATTATTGTTGGGTTGTGAGTTTCTTCTTGTTGGGTTGTTGTGATTGTGATTGTTATTTTGGGGGCCATGTTCCAGCAGCATTCTCTCCTGACGTTTTGCCTGCATCTACAGCAGGTTGGGATTGTTATTATTGTTATTTTGGGAGGACATGTTCCAGCAGCATTCTCTCCTGACGTTTCGCCTCGATCTATGGCAGGTTGTGATTGTTATTATTGTTATTTCGCGGGCCATGTTCCAGCAGCATTCTCCCTTGACGTTTCGCCTGCATCTATTGCAGGGTGGGATTGTTATTTTTGTTATTTTGGGGGGACATGTTCCAGCAGCATTCTCTCCTGATGTTTCGCCTCGATCTATGGCAGGATATGATTGTTATTATTGTTATTTTTGCGGGCCATGTTCTAGAAGTATTCTCCCCATACATTTCGCCTGCATCTAGGGCAGGTTGGGATTGTTATTATTGCTATTTGGGGGGCCATGTTCCAGCAGCATTTTCTCCCGACGTTTTGCCTGCATCTACGGCAGGTTGTGATAGTTATTGTTGTTTTGGGAGCCTTGTTCCAGCTGCATTCTTTCCTGACATTTCGCCTCGATCTATGGCAAGTTGTGATTGTTATTATTGTTATTTTGGGGGCCATGTTCTAGCAGCATTCTCTCCTGACGTTTCGCCTGCATCTGTGGCAGGTTGTGATTGTTATTATTGTTATTTTGCGGGCCATGTTCCAGCAGCATTCTCTCCTGTCGTTTCACCTGCATCTATTGCAGGGTGGGATTGTTATTATTGTTATTGGGGGGGGGGTGTTCCAGCAGCATTCTCTCCTGATGTTTCGCCTGCATCTACGGCAGGTTGTGATAGTTATTGTTGTTTTGGGAGCCATGTTCCAGCAGCATTCTCTCCTGACGTTTCACCTGCATTTATGGCAGGTTGTGATTGTTATTATTGTTATTTGGGAGACCATGTTCTAGAAGCATTCTCTCCTGATTTTTCGCCTGCATCTACGCCAGGTTGTGATTGTTATTATCGTTATTTTGCAAGATAGCATGTTGCAAAAATAACAAAATACGGCAGGTTGTGATGGTTATTATTGTTATTTGGGGGGGGGCATGTTCCAGCAGCATTCTCTCCTGATGTTTCGCCTGCATCTAGGGCAGGTTGTGATTGTTGTGATTGTTTTTTTGAGGGCCATTTTCTGGCAGCATTCTCTCCTGACGTTTCGCCTGCATCTATGCCAGGTTGTGATTGCTATTATTGTTATTTTGCAAGATACCATGTTTCAAAATAACAAAATACGGCAGTAAGTAAGTGGCAAAATAACAAAATACGGCAGGTTGCGATTGTTATTATTGTTATTTTGCAAGGTACCATGTTGCAAAATATTTTGCAAGTTCCCATCTTGTTATTTTGCGAGATCCTATTTTGAATCCCCCCAAAAAGGTGGAGAAAAAAAACCCAAACCCTAATTCCTGGGTCTCATTTTGCAAGAATAGCAATCTTTTGTATGCACAGGAATAATAATAATCTCATGTTTTCCTTGCATTACTTCCCTTCTTTCTCCAAAAGAAAAACAGCTTACATTGTGCATTTTTCCCCTTGTGTGCGGTGAGACGCAGGAATGTTTGGCTTTCTTTCTCCTTGCCTCTTTCTCTCTCCTTCCTTTCTTTTCCTCCTTGCATTTTTTCCTTCCTTCCTTCCTTCCTTCCTTCCTTCCTTCCTTCCTTCTTCCTTCCATTTTCCTCGGTGGTATATTTTCCTTCCCTTTTTCATGTGGCACATGAAAAAGCAAGAAGCAGATGGAGACTCACTCAGGGATGGACTTTGCCTTCTTTTCTCTTTTCTCTCTCTTTTTCCTGTCTGACATTTCAGTGGTTTGGACTTTTTCTTTTCTTTTCTCCCAACTGAAAAGACTCCCAATCGCATGGCCTTCCCTTCTCAGAAGAGGATTTTACGCTTGGCTGGTGGATCTGAATAACTTCTGTAGGGCTGAGAGGTTGAGATGGAACTTTGCATTCCCTGCCTTCCCCCAAAACCAACATTCCCAGTCCTAGAAAGACTTCTTCTTCTTCTTCTTCTATTATTATTATTATTATTATTATTATTATTAGTCGTAATTATTTACAACATTTATATGCCGCCCTTCTCACACCAAAGGGGACTCAGAGTGGCTATATATATATATATATACACACACACACACACATATACACACATATTAACTAGCCGTTCCCTGCCATGCATTGCTGTGGCCCACATGGGGGTTCTGTGTGGGAGGTTTGGCCCAATTCTATCATTGGTGGGGTTCTGAATGCTCTGTGATTGTAGGTGAACTATAAATCCCAGTAACTACAAATCCCAAATGTCAAGGTCTATTTCCTCCAAACTCCATCTGTGTTCATATTTAGGCATATGGAATATTTGTGTCAAGTTTGGTCCAGATCCATCATTGTTTGAGTCCACAGTGCTCTCTGGATGTAGGTGAACTACAACTCCCAAACTCAAGGTCAATGCCCACCAAACCCTTCCAGTGTGTTCTGTTGGTCATGGAAGTCCTGTATGCCACGTTTGGTTCAATTCCATCATTGGTGGAGTTCAGAATGCTCTTTGATTGTAGGTGAACTATAAATCCCAGTAACTACAAATCCCAAATGTCAAGATTCTATTTTCTCCAAACTCCACCAGTGTTCACTTTTGGGCATATTTAGTATTTGTGTAGAGTTTGGTCCAGATCCATCATTGTTTGAGTCCACAGTGATATCTGGATGTAGGTGAACTACAACTCCCAAACTCAATGTCAATGCCCACCAAACTCTTGTAGTATTTTCTGTTGCTCATGGGAGTTCTGTGTCCCAATTTGGTTCAATTCCACCATTGGTGGAGTTCAGAATGTTCTTTGATTGTAGGTGAACTATAAATCCCAGCAACTACAACTCCCAAATGACAAAATCAATTTTTTTGAGTGATGGACATACATTGGCCTGATAGGTGTCTTGTGTCCAAATTTGGTGCCAATACGTCCAGTGGTTTTTGAGTTCTGTGAATACCACAAACATTACATTTTTATTTATATAGATACACACAAACACACACAACACATATATACATATACATACATACATACACTATATTATATTATTAGCATAGTACAGTATCAGTATTATATATTATTATATTGTACTACACTATTATATTGTAATATTATTAGTAAAACAACAGAGAGTAAACAATCAGGCACAACTAATCACCTCTCAACAAAAGATTCCCCCAGGCACTGCCAAGCCATCAAATGCTAATTAAGGTGGTCAGTTGAAACATTCACACCTAGCTCCAGCAGACAAGAGTCCTTTGTCCCACCCTGGTCATTCCACAGATATATAAACCCTTTTTCCTAGTTCCAACAGACCTCACTACCTCTGAGGATGCTTGCCATAGATGCAGGCGAAACGTCAGGAGAGAATGCCTCTAGAACATGGCCATATAGCCCGAAAAAACCTACAACAACCTATCATCTATTTTCCTTAATGTTTCCAGCAGTTTTAATTTCCAACTATTGGAGAGAAAAAAACTACAACAACCCAGTAATATTACATGCAATTTAAAATATATAATTATAATATCCTAATATAATTGTTACTATTATATTGTATTACATTATCTATCTATCTATCTATCTATCTAAATGCTCTGTGCATAATGAGTACCTTAAAACAAAAGAACCAATGAACGAAATCACACCAAATTTGGCAACAAAACGTCTCACAACACAAGGAGTGACCATCACTCAAAAAATTATGATTTTGTCATTTGGGAGTTGTAGTTGCTGGGATTTATAGTTCACCTACAATCAAAGAGCATTCTGAACTCCACCAACGATGGAATTGAACCAAACTTGGCACACAGAACTCCCACGACGAACAGAAAATATTGGAAGGTTTGATGGGCAGTGTCCTTTGGTTTTGGAGTTGTAGTTCATCTACATCCAGAGAGCACTGTGGACTCAAACAATGATGGATCTGGACCAAACTTGGCACATACTCAATATCCCTAATATAAACACAAATGGAGTTTGGGGAAAATATTATCTTGACATTTGGGAGTTGTAGTTGCTGGGATTTATAGTTAACCTACAATCAAAGAGCATTCTGAACCCCACCAATGACAGAATTGGGCCAAACTTCCCACATAGAACCCCCATGACCACCAGAGTGGGCCACAGCAAGGCATGGCAGGGAACGGCTAGTCTATATAAATTAAAATGTAATGTTCGTTTGTGGGTTAACATAACTCAAAAACCACTGAACAAATTGACACTAAATTTGGACACAGTATACCTAAGAGTCCAACGAGTGTCCATCACCATAAACACACACGCGCGCATGCACACACACACAAAACCCCAGCGGAACAGACTTAAAAACCCAAAAAATACACCATATATACATATACACAGACACTCATATACATATGCACATGCACACATTCATACACACATGTATGCACAAACACACACAAATATACACACATATACATATACACATGCACATATGCATGCACACATATACATGTGCACACACATACATATCCACATACATACATATATACACACAAATATGCACATAGACAAGCACACACACATACACATATTACATGTACACATATAAACACACAAATATACAAATATATACATGAATATATACACACATATATATACCCATATATATATATATACACACGCAAACACACATATATACACAAATATATACACACGCATAAATATATATATATACACACACAACACATATATAAAAACTGGACCACAGCAACGTGTGGCAGGGGACAGCTAGTAATGTTATAAATATTATCATATGGATATTTTTTCCACGATTGTGAGTATTGTGCTCCAAAACACTTAGTTTTAGTATAGAGTATTATTATTATTTGAAACTCAACAAGATGAGTCCACAATAAACAAGATCACTCTGCTGGCTGTTGTATTGGATCACACGTCAGACATTTCCCAAGTGTCTAGTATTGTGTAATGTATCGGCAAATAATGCGTGCAGATCCCAGTAAGGTGGCCTTCTGCAGCTTGCAGACGGTAATTTTGTCGGCGCTGATTGTGTTTAAGTGCAAGCCAAGGTCTTGAGGCACTGCACCCAGTGTGCCAATCACCACTGGGACCACCTTTACTGGCTTGTGCCAGTGTCTTTGCAGTCTTTTGCAGCCATCAGTCATCTTTAAATCCTCATATTGCGTCAGCTTTTCCAATTGTTTCTCTTCGATCCAGCTGTCACCTGGGATTGCGACATCGACAATCCATACTTTGTTTTTTAACACAATTGTGAGGTCAGGAGTGTTGTGCTCCAGAACTCTGTTAGTCTGAATCCAGAAGTCCCAGAGTAGTTTGACATGTTCATTCTCTGTGACTTTTTCCGGCTTGTGATCTCACCAGTTCTTTGTCGCAAGCAGATGGTGTTTGTGGCAGAAGTTCCAATGCATCATCTGAGCAACGGTGTTGTGCCTCTACTTGTAGTCTGTCTGCGCGATCTTCTTGCAGCAGCTGAGGATGGGATCTATTGTTTCATCTGCTTCCTTGCAGAGTCTACACTTGGGATCTGTCGTTGACTTTTCAATTCTGGCTTGGATGGCCTTGGTTCGAATGGCTTGTTCTTGGACTGCCAGAATCAGGCATTATTATTATTATTATTATTATTATTATTATTATTATTGTTATAAAGTGCTGGCGTTGGCCTTTAAAGCCCTAAACAGTTCAGGCCCAAGCTACCTATCTGACCGCATCTCTGCCTATGAACCCACCAGGACTTTGAGATCTTCCGGGGAGGCCCTGCTCTCGATCCCGCCTGCTTCTCAAGCTCGGCTGGCGGGGATGAGAGAGATAGGGCCTTCTCAGTGGTGGCTCCTCGGCTGTGGAACGCCCTTCCTACGGACATTAGACTAGCACCATCTCTAATGGTATTCCGCAAAAAGGTGAAGACCTGGATGTTTCAGTGCAGGCGTTTGAGTAATTTAGTGCAATCTGGTAATGGAACATAGGAATGGAACAATGGACGACGAACCTGGACTACGCTTGGATGATGAGAAGATGGGGTACGGTTGTTTTTTGTAATAATTGTGCATTGTAATTGCTTATTGGTAATTTATGGATAATGTGTTAAGTCAATTGTTATATGTTGTATGGAACCACTGCTGTTTCTACTGTTTTTACTGTTTGTGAACCGCTGTGAGTCGCCTTCGGGCTTGAGATACAGCGGTATATAAGCAAAGTAAATAAATAAATAAATAAATAAATATTATTATTATTATTATTATTGTTATTATTTTCTGCAAAAGGGGGAAAACATTAACTGGAGGTGAACTTTGTCTCTCTCCCCTTGCACCGGGAGGAGCTTTGCGCGGAGTGTTTGTGTTGTGCCCCAGACTCCCAAGGCGTGACCCATTCTTGTTTGGATTGATTTGCAGCTTTGGCATGTTTTATTTGAAAAGAAAGCCATCCCTCCACCCTTCTGGCCAGTGCTGAATTTTGTATCTGGCCCCGGAGGGATTTTCCAGGCTTGCAAAACATTTCAGATCAGTAATAACATTGCATCTTTCTTTTTTTTTCTTTTCCTCTCTCCATTCCCGGCTTCCCGAAGGGCATTTTGGAAAAACAGCTTCATTGTGCATCCAATGGATTGCCTCGTCAGAAGATCTGTATGAAAGCCAAACATGTGGATGTGTCTCTTTGGATGAAGATTGCTGAAGAATGCATAATTTTATTAGAAGGCAAACGGTTCAGGAATAACCTGTTTGCAAGATAAATCTGACATAGACATGACAGTGTTTTGGCTCTGCGTGGATCCGGCGGAGGCCTATATAACATGAAAATTTTTTTGAAATAAACCAAAAATGTTGTTCGTCTGGCCCTAAGCACGTCGTTCCGGATACCTCCAGACTGTGAGTTCCAGGAAAGTCTGCTCAACTCACCTTTTAAACATACAGTTCCTATATAGCAACCAAAGTGTAATGGACCTGCAGATTGGGTTCCTTCCAGGAAACTCTGTCCAACGCTCAACTCTTCCTGTACAGATCGAGGTGTAACCTACCCGCGGAAGTTTTCCATATCTGGAGGAGACACCGCACACTGGGGATTTATAGTCCTGGCCATGGCTTTGAAAGCGAGGGCACTCTACGACTTCCAGAGCGAAAACAAGGAGGAGATCAGCATCCGAGAGAACGAGGAGTTGGTCATCTTCAATGAGAACTCCTTGGACGGTTGGTTGCAGGGGACCAACAGCCGCGGAGAAACGGGTCTGTTCCCCGCTTCCTACGTGGCGGTCCTCCGTCCACGGTCGGCCTCAGCGTATACGGATTACTCCAACAGCCCTTCGGGTTCTCCTGGAAATCACTCGTCCATTTCCGTCCCGCCGTCCAACACTAGTGTCTCCCATCAGGGTAGCTTTGAAGATGACGACGATGACGACTGGGACGATTGGGATGATGGTTGCACGGTGGTGGAGGAGCCTCGGAGCGGGCCGGGTACCAACGGCCACCCGTCTCCGAACTCGTCCTACCTGAGGCCGTACTCCTATCCGAACCATCAAGGCTACCGTCCGAAACCGTCTCTGGAAAGGCAGGACAGCATTGGGTCTTCCAAACGGGGTAGCGTGGTGGGACGCAACCTCAACCGCTTCTCCTCCTTCGTCCGCTCCGGAGTGGAGGCCTTCATCTTGGGGGACGTCCCCATGATCTCCAAGATCGCCGAGATGTATTACGTCGATATGGGACCCAAAGGTCCCCAATGGAGGCCCAGCCCGCACCCGTTGGTGTGTTCGGTGGAGGACCCCACCAAGCAGACCAAGTTCAAGGGCATCAAGAGCTACATCTCCTACCGGCTGATGCCCAGCAACACCCAGTCGCCCGTCTACCGGCGGTACAAGCACTTCGATTGGCTCTACAACCGGCTGCTGCACAAGTTCACCGTCATCTCAGTGCCCCACTTACCCGAGAAGCAAGCCACGGGGCGCTTCGAGGAGGACTTCATCGAGAAGCGGAAGCGGAGGCTGATCTTGTGGATGGACCATATGACCAGCCACCCAACCCTCTCCCAATACGAGGGCTTCCAACACTTCTTGACTTGCCGGGACGACAAACAGTGGAAGATGGGCAAGCGCCGGGCGGAGAAGGACGAGTTGGTGGGTGCCAGCTTCCTCCTGACCCTCCAGATCCCCACCGAACACCAAGACCTCCAAGACGTGGAGGACAGAGTGGACACCTTCAAGGCCTTCAGTAAGAAGATGGACGACAGCGTCCTCCAGCTGACCAACGTGGCTTCGGAGCTGGTGAGGAAGCACGTCGGGGGTTTCCGGAAAGAGTTCCAGAAGTTGGGGAACGCCTTCCAAGCCATCAGTCAGTCCTTCCAGATGGACCCACCATACAGCTTCGATGCCCTCAATGGTGCCATCTCTCACACGGGCAAGACTTACGAAACGGTGGGCGAAATGTTTGCCGAACAACCCAAGAATGACTTATTCCTCATGTTGGACACGCTTTCCTTGTACCAAGGACTCCTCTCCAACTTTCCTGACATTATCCATCTTCAGAAAGGTAAGAAACTACATCTCTCTCTGTATACAAGAGTCTGTTGAGCGAGTAGGCTTCTTAACAGAAGATAAATACAAAAAACTGCAGATTGTAAATCACAATTTCTATATTACAGGAAAATCTTCATTAAACGTAACGTGGGGACAGTTAACACTACTGATTTTTTTTTTTGGTCGTGTCAGGAGCGACCTGAGAAACTGCAAGTCGCTTCTGGTGTGAGAGAATTGGCCGTCTGCAAGGACGTTGCCCAGGGAACGCCCGGATGATTTGATGTTTTATCATCCTTGTGGGAGGCTTCTCTCATGTCCCCGCATGAGGAGCTGGAGCTGATAGAGGGAGCTCATCCGCCTCTCCAGAGATTCGAACTTAGATTACTACTGATTAGTAATCTATATAAATAAAAATGTAATGTTTGTTTGTGGGATTAGCATAACTCAAAAACCACTGGACAAATTGACACCAAATTTGGACACAAGACACCTAACTACCCAATGTATGTCCTTCACTAAAAAAAATTGATTTTGTCGTTTGGGAGTTGTAGTTCCTGGGATTTATAGTTCATCTACAATCAAAGAGCATTCTGAACCCCACCAACAATGGAATTGAAAATACTGGAAGGGTTTGGTGGGCAGTGTCCTTTGATTTTGGAGTTGTAGTTCACCTACATCCAGAGATCACTGTGGAATCAAACCATGATGGATCTGGACCAAACTCTACACAAATACTCAATATGCCCAAATGTGAACACTGGTGGAGTTTGGGGGAAAGAGAAGGGTTTGGTGGGCATTGACCTTGAGTTTTGGAGTTGTAGTTCACCTACATCCAGAGAGCACTGTAAACTCAAACAATGAAGTATCTTGAGCAAACTTGCCACAAGAACTCAATACGCCCAAATATGAACACAGATGGAGTTTGGGGAAAATAGAATTTGACATTTGGGAGTTGTAGTTGCTGGGATTTATAGTTCACCTACAATCACAGAGCATTCTGAACCCCACCAACGGTAGAATTGGGCCAAACCTCCCACACAGAACCCCCATGTGGGCCACAGCAATATGTGGCAGGGGACGACTAGTCTATATAAATAAAAATGTAATGTTCGTTTGTGGGATTAGCATAACTCAGAAACCACTGGACGAATTGACACGAAATTTGGACACAATACAGCTAACAGTCCAATGAGTGTTCATCACCCCTAATCATACAAAAAAAAAAATCCAGCAGAATGGACTTAAAACCCCCAAAAATACACCATATATATATACACACACACCATACACACACACATACACATGCACTCATACATACACATACGTATATATATATATCCAAGCACACACAAATATACACACACATACCTCTACATACACATATATATACATGCACACATACATACACACAAATATAAGCACAAATGCGCATATAAAGAAGCACACACATATACACAATATACATATACACATAAAAACACACAAATATATATATACATAAATAAATAATTTTACACACACACATATGCGCACACATATATACCTATATATATACATATATACATACGTGTGTGTGTGTGTATATATATATATGCAAACACACATATATACACACACAAAACACATATATACAGACTGGGCCACAGCAATGTGTGGCAATGGTATCCGCCATTGATTGAGGTTCTGGGTTTGAGCCTGCCACTTTTGGACTCTCGCTTGCTGAGGTGTTCCAGCGAGTGTCTCTGTAGATCTTAGAAAACTATTTCTTGATTTTATTTATTTATTTATTTACTTTATTTGTATACCGCTCTTCTCAGCCCTTAGGCGACTCAGAGCGGTTCACAACAACAGTTTCAATATACACAGTACAAAATCATTAGACATTTAAAAGCATAACGATTAAACATCAAACATCAATACATCAATATAACAAATCCATCACGTCTCATCAATAGAATCAGAATCCAGTCTCGATATCCATTATTGCATGTTCCAATAATCAATTATCAATTGCACTGCCTAGTTGAATGCCTGTTCGAACAGCCAGGTCTTCACTCTCCTCCGGAATGCCAGTAGGGAGGGGGCCGATCTAATATCCGTAGGAAGGGCGTTCCACAGCCGAGGGGCCACCACTGAGAAGGCCCTGTCTCTCGTCCCCGCCAGGCGTGCTTGTGAAGCCTGCGGGATCGAGAGCAGGGCCTCCCCAGACGATCTTAATGTCCTAACTGGTTCATAGGAGGAGATGCGTTCGGACAGATAGGTCGGGCCAGAACCGTTTAGGGCTTTAAAGGCTAAAGTCAGCACTTTGAATTGTGCCCGGTAGCAAATTGGCAGCCAGAGGAGTAGTATGCTCCCTGAGTGCTGCTCCTGTTAGCATCCTGGCTGCCGATCGTTGAACCATTTGAAGCTTCCGAGCAGTCTTCAGAAGCAACCCCACGTAGAGAGCGTTGCAGTAGTCTATACGGGATGTGACCAGATTTAAGTCATTGACGTGCTGGCTGATACCCAAACAGGGGATGAGCTGGAGATGTCACTGCCTTGGTCCTTTCACTATTGGCTGCTACTTCCCGGCAGATGTCAGGTGGTGTGATACCGGCTAAACAGTGTAATTTCTCCAGTGGTGTAGGGTGCAGACACCCCGTGATAATGTGGCATGTCTCATTAAGAGCCACATCTACTGTTTTAGTGTGGTGAGATGTGTTCCACACTGGGCATGCGTACTCAGCAGCAGAGTAGCATAGCGCAAGGGCAGATGTCTTCACTGTGTCTGGTTGTGATCCCCAGGTTGTGCCAGTCAGCTTTCGTATGATATTGTTTCTAGCACCCACTTTTTGCTTGATGTTCAGGCAGTGCTTCTTGTAGGTCAGAGCACGGTCCAGAGTGACTCCCAGGTATTTGGGTGCGCTGCAATGCTCCAGTGGGATTCCTTCCCAGGTGATCCTCAGAGCTCGGGATGCTTCTCTGTTCTTAAGGTGAAAGGCACATGTCTGTGTTTTAGATGGATTAGGGATCAGCTGGTTAGCTGGATAGGAAATAAAACAATATACAAACACAAAAGGTATATTAAAATGCCCAAATATCCCAATTTTAAGGGGATTTTCAAAACCCATGTTTTGAAAATAGTTTAGGCTCCGTAGTGAGAGGAGTTCTGTAACGAGCAATTGTAATGGTAACAGGGTGGCTCTTTTAAGTAAGACTGAGTGTAACAGGAAGCAAGTGTAATCTATTCTATCATTAAGCCCTTGGGCGATGAGTGTTTGTAGTTTGAAAGTCCAAAATGACTCTCTCTGTAATAAGTACCTTTTAACATCAGTATTAAGTTTAGGTGTTACCTTCTCCAAAGCACAACATTTCAAGCTATGGCAAGTGTGTGCCTTTTCTTGGAAATGTGAATATAAAGAAGAGTCAGTGGACCCATTTCTTATGCGAGAGCAGTGTTCACTAATTCTGATTTTCAGGAGTCTGGTGGTCATCCCAACGTATCATAATTGGCATGGACATTGAATTACGTAAACTACATTGTCCGTGGAGCACATAGTAAAATGCTGTAAGGTGATGTGGATGTTTAATGTTTACGTAATTCATGCCAATAATTATATGTTGAGATTACCACTAGTCTTTACACTGGAGCTTCTCTCACACAATGGCCTTCAACCTGGGGCTTCTCTCACACAATGACCTTCAACCTGGGGCTTCTCTCACACAATGGCCTTCAACCTGGGGCTTCTCTCACACAATGGCCTTCAACCTGGGGCTTCTCTCACACAATGGCCTTCAACCTGGGGCTTCTCTCACACAATGGCCTTCAACCTGGGGCTTCTCTCACACAATGGCCTTCAACCTGGGGCTTCTCTCACACAATGGCCTTCAACCTGGGGCTTCTCTCACACAATGGCCTTCAACCTGGGGCTTCTCTCACGGAAGCTTCTCACACCAGGCCGGAGCCCTCGGTGGCGCAGTGGGTTAAAGCACTGAGCTGCTGAGCTTGTTGACTGAAAGGTCGCAGGTTCAAATCTGGGGAGCAGTGTGAGCTTCTGCTGTCAGCCCCGCTTCTGCCAACCTAGCAGTTCGAAAACATGCAAATGTGAGTAGATCAATAGGTATCGCTCTGGTGGGAAGGCAACGGTGCTACATACAGTCATGCTGTCCACATGACCTAGGAGGTGTCTACGGACAATGCCGGCTCTTTGGCTTAGAAATGGAGATGAACCAAACACCAGGCCTTCTCACACTGAGGCTTACCAACGCTGAAGCCTTCTCATACTAAGACCTTCTAACACACTGAGGCCCATCTCCCACAGAAACCTCTCACAAACTGTAGGCGAGCTAATACTGAGGCCTTCTCACACCAAGGCCTGTCACAGACTGAGGTCTTTCTCCCACTGAGACCTCTTGCAGACTGATGCCTACTAAATTACAGGCACACCGGCTTATATTGAACTGCAGCTTTTGCTGAGTCATTGCATCCATGTAAGCCTTTCAGTACTCAACTCATATTTTGTAATTAAAAATACCTAATGAATATTTAATATTTCTGACAGAGCCAACATTTATTTATGTTTGGATCCACAAAGGCTCTTACGTAGTTTGATGAATCTGGATCAAACATACTCATTATGATCCAACTTAAATTTAAATTCGAGGATGGATCTGGACCAAACTTGACACATATGCCTTGATCTGGTTTGGGGTTGGGTATGTTTTATGTGATTAAGGATGATGGGAGTTGTAGTCCACCTTCATCTGGCCAGCCATGTTAATCCCACCAATGACGGATCTTGCCGAAACCTGGCACACATACCCATCATGACCAACTTAAAATACTGGTGAGGTTTCAAGACGATTGTGAGAGGATGATGGGAGTTGTAATGTCTACTCACGTTCGGAGAGCTGTGTAAATCCCACCAATGTAAATAGATCTGGACCGAACATGAGACACATGCCAAGATATGACTTAAAACAATTGAAGGGTTGGGTGTGTGAGAGATTGAGGATGATGGGAGTTGTAGTCCA